TTGCTTGCGAGCTGTGAGCGAACTGATTCGAGAAAGTTCATAGAAAAAAATATGGAGGAAATTTTGCACTGGTTGGTGTTTCTCTAACGATTAATCACTACTGAAGTTCGTGATCTTTGAGAATTTAGAAGAGAGAAGTTCGGAATGGCGGTGGAGTATAAGTGCTGCGAAACGGATTTCTTTGTAAACATTGTGATAATAGTTTTGCTCGTGTTGTTCGCTGGACTGATGTCTGGCCTCACTCTGGGCCTTATGTCTATGAGTATCGTCGATCTTGAAGTTCTTGCTAAATCCGGTACTCCAAAAAATAAAAAATACGCAGGTACAGCGTTTATGCTACTTTCTTTTTTTAAAAAAAACCTTATTTAGACCGTTTAAGTTCTGTTTGGATAGTGAGAAAATTGGAGTTTTGTCGTGCGGGACTTGGGGAAGTGATAATTAATTTCAAGACTTATTAAGTGGTTAACAATGGTTATCAGCTAGCCTGCCTTGTAGATTTGGCTTTTATGCCTCGATAACTTTTTAGGAGGGTTCATGAATAATAAACTCCAGCTGGGTATAGTAACCTTATACCACTGAATATAAACAAACAATTTATTTATTTTATTTATTTACCCCAAAAAACAATTAAATTGTTTTATTGAATGAAAATATTTCATTTGTAGTTGTAGGCCTTTGGTAGTTGCGGAACAAGTAATTGAAATCATAGCTTATAAGAGATTTCATGACTGGGTTTTATTATTGCTTGTTGCTTGTCATAAACAGCGAAAATATTGCCTGTGGTTAAAAACCAGCATCTGTTGCTTTGCACGCTCCTTATATGCAACGCTACTGCTATGGAGGTATGTTCTGTAGAGATGTAATTAATAAGCATTGATTATTATTCTTCAAATCGAATGTCTTTTTTGTTTTACTTTGTCAGGCACTTCCAATTTTTCTTGATAGTCTGGTTACAGCTGGGGTTGCTATTCTAATTTCAGTAACTTTGATTCTTCTATTTGGCGAGGTGAGGCATCCATATTGATTTGTGCATTTTTATTAGTTTTTTTTAAAGAGCTTAGGAATTGTGGGTAGGTGTACAGTAGAACCGTGGAAGCAGAATTTTACTAGTTTGACTTGTTTTCGATATGCTACTTGAAAATTAATGCTTTTTGACTACGGGTTTTGTGATGATCCTCTCTGTTTTGGGACCTAGTTCTTTCACTGTTGCTAAATATACAGGCATTCTGCCGTTGCCAGTTTTTCTGACAAGAGATGCTTCTTGGGAATGATGGATATATAAGCCTGATTCTTCTAGAGTTTCATCTATAATTACATTTTTAAGATGGTATGATTGGCAGTATGTTTTACGGGTCTTCTGATTGTTCTTTTATTTGGATATGCAGATTTTACCACAATCTGTTTGTTCCCGATATGGTTTGGCAATTGGTGCAACAGTGGCCCCGTTTGTCCGTCTTCTGGTTTGGACCTGTTTTCCTGTTGCCTATCCGATAAGCAAGGTGACACGTATGTTGGTTAAAGCTTGCGTGTGGTTGAACCCTCCTAAACACTAGAGTGACTATTAATGTTTATGTGATATTTTCAGCTCCTGGACTTTCTGCTGGGACATGGTCATGTTGCTCTTTTTCGCAGAGCTGAGTTGAAAACACTAGTAAATTTGCATGGTAACGAGGTGTGTTCATTACCTTTCAGAATTACACATCGTAGAACAGATGTTATGCTTTATCGTCTACTTGTCTGTGTATGTCTTTGTATTTATCGCCATGCAGCTTATCTGCTTGCTTCTTTTCATGGTTCTTGTTTGTAGTCATTAAATCTGCCTATCAAGCCATCAATATGTGCAGTTGTCTACCCGTATTAAAATTTTTCCATTGCTTATAACGCATGTATCCTGTTGTCTGCTACCCTTTTTTTCTCTCATATCTTCCATTAGCTTTGTAACACTGTCAGTGATGTTTATTAGGCTGGAAAAGGTGGAGAACTAACTCATGATGAGACAACAATTATTGCTGGAGCACTTGAGCTCACTGAAGAAACAGCTAGTGATGCCATGACCCCTATATCTGAAACTTTTGCTATTGACATTAATGACAAACTTGACAGGTGTTGTGCTCAAAAGGGTAAACTGAAAAATCACTGCTGTTGCATGACATGCATTGTGATTTGCCGCATTGTATATTTTTCATGTACAGGGAGTTGATGAGTTTGATATTGGAGAAAGGGCATAGCAGAGTGCCAGTTTATTATGAGCAGCCTACAAACATAATTGGACTAATTCTGGTAAATTGATGATATTAACGTACTCAGCAACAATGAAAGAGATCTTTCTTTTCTTCATACACTTAGAATTATGTCTTAACGAACTAGCATTGGTTGAATAATGTGGTATACTAATAATCTTCTTTTGTTTGCCAACGTTTAGCTTTTATTGGTTATCTTTTGTGCCAACTCTTTGTGCTCTCACTCAAGTGATTCCTGTATCCTTAATTGGTTTGTAATTTATATGATGTGCAAAAAAAAAAAAAAATCAAATATGTCAGAGAACCACTTCAATGGCCTTTTAGCTATGAGATTTTCTGTGGTTTCAGATAAAAAAATTGTTTCATCATAACATAGCTTTCAGATTGTCTCTAAGAAGAGTGTGCCTTCCTTAAGATTCTCCTTTCGAGGACCCGTGGACCGTGGCTCTGTGATAGGCTTTCAATCTGCATGAATTTATTGTTTGATGGGCATTTCCCTTGTATGGCTTGCTTTGGTTTATGCTGTCTTTAGGTGTTCCTTGAGGCTTTTCTATTATCTTTTCTGTTTAAAGCTAATGTATTTTCCCAAGACTAACTTCACTTTCTAGTAAATATTTTGGAATCAAGCTTTAGCTCTTAACAGGTTCATTTTAAAGTTTTAACCGGGATTTGCATTTTTTTTCTTTATGCAATCACCAAAAATAATGTTTCAATTTATGTGGAAACATAATCCCCTACCATTGACACTAGAAAGAGATAGGATGAACCACAAGGGGGCCAAGTGCTTTGAGAACTAAAGCATGGCAAACTGCAAACAGGCATGGCTAGGGGAAATGAGGCATAGTTTTTGCAATAAAGGGTGACCAATTAAGACTACCTCTTGGGCTAATTGATTTTGTTTGGCACTTCATTTCTCCGTCATATCTTGCCTTTACTTTCATATCTTCTGATCTGAGTTCATTCGCTAAATTAATTGGCTGAAACTTCTGATTACTTTTTCTTGAAAATGTATGTGTATTTTGATCTTTTAGGCCAATAATTTGTTGACAATTCACCCAGAAGATAAAATACCTGTAAAGAATGTCACTATACGCAAGATTCCCAGGTAACCTTTAGGTCAAGGATTGTATTTATGTCGATGATATATTTTTAGTTGCTCCTGGAGAACAAAATGCTGTCCATTGTTACCTACAGACTGATGGTTCTATCTGTTTATGTTGTAGGGTTCCAGAAACTTTGCCTTTATATGATATATTGAATGAGTTTCAGAAAGGTCATAGCCACATGGCAGTTGTTACAAGGCAGTGTAAAAAGCCAGAGGAGCAGCCTGTAAGCAATGCTGGTGACAGTAAGTGTCAATTCACGCGGGTATCCACTTCTGTTTGTAGTCCCAAGCTGTACTAGAATCTACCTAATTTGGAGAGCATCTGTCTTTATGATAAGTAAATCATATGATAATTATTACTCTCCTGTCTCTTGCATGCAACAGATCCGGTGAAAGAAGTTAAAGTTAATATTGATGGTGAAAAGCCTCCCAAGGACAGGGCTTTGAAGAGCAAGAGACCACTTCAAAAGTGGAAAAGCTTTCCCAACAGTGGCAACAATTCATTTAGAGGTTCAAGGAGCAAGAAGTGGACAGAGGACCTGAACTCAAACATCTTGCACATAAATGGCAATCCACTCCCAAGGCTTCCTGAGGAAGAAGAAGCAGTTGGCATAATAACAATGGAAGATGTCATTGAAGAGCTTTTACAGGTAAACATTACGTTTTGCTATTCATATCACATATATCTCCCTCCAACAATTTCTAGAGGCTACCTCATACTGTGATCTGATTTGCACAATGAACAATGTAGGAGGAGATCTTTGATGAGACAGATCATCATTTTGAGGGACACTGCCTAGGTGAGCTGTAGTATGTACTGCCGGCTAGACAATGACGAAAAGGTTGTTCCAGATGAAACAGGGTACAATGATCAAAATCTCTTGTTTGCAGTATTGAATGGTTGTATCGCGGAAAAGCAATGCATGCTATATATATATATATAAAATCATACAGGTTATTGAATCAAATATTGATGTTTGCTTACTTTTTGCTGTAATGAAGAATAATTTAAACTTTTAATCTTTAACTAATATTAAAGCTCTTTTACAATTTATTAGTTAATATATTTTTTAAAAGTTTTATAGAAAACAGACATTATCTTTTCAATATGCATTTAAATTTCATTATGACATCAAAAAATGAATAATGTACCGATGAGACCCCATGTCCGTGCCCCTAGGAAGCACCTGCGCCTACGATCCTCGAGTAATCTGACGACGACAATTGGAACCACCAGTCCTAACCGCTGAATACCGCTGATTATTGAAAAAATATTCAGCAGTTTTCTGATCACATGGTCGATGCCGTATTTCCATGCCTCTCCATTAAAGACCTGTGTCGATTTTGATTTTCTAATGTTCGAAGGGTGCAGAAAAAACTGTCCGGAATATGCAAACAACCCCAACAATATTAATGGCCTTGTTGTAGCCAATAATAATGGTAATATTTTTAATAATACTAGGAGTCTAGGAGAGGGCTAATTAATCTTATTCGGTGTTTTGTTAAACGTGCGCCGGGTAGGCATCAAAAATCTGGATGATGAGAACACCTGAACAGGAGGAGCTGCTCTGCTCAGAGAATAGACCCCGTTTAGCTGTGATGCAACTGTATTTTGAATTATTTTTTTAGCTTTAAATTAATTAAAATAATTAATATATTTCCAAAAGATAAAACAATCTATGATATAATTACCAAACACTGTGCGCGAACAAGAATTATCATACATACTCGACACAATAAAGTTGTTAATCTTTAACGGGAACAATGATGTACAAACAGGGCCTTTACTAGTGTTTACTTCTTTTCTCATCCTTTCTCTTCCTTTTCTTATCTCTAGACCTTTCTTTAGATCTGTGCTTCCTAGAATGCTTCTTATCCCGACTCTTTGAACAAGCCTTCTTTTCCTTTTTAAGCCCATCTTTGTCAAGCTCTTCCTCAGATGATTCATAAGATTTCAGCGAAGAAGGCTTCTCTGGTCCAAAAACAACACGCTGCAGCTTCGCATCCAAGTTTCTGGACAGCTTTTCGTCAGGATCTGGGCAAGGAGCAAGGTAAGGCCCTGTATCATCCATCCTTGAACCTACAGCACCTCGACCTCGCTTGACCCTGTGATAAACAAAAATATTCATGTCAAACCAACGAGGTTTTGCTTTTCTTTTCTCTTTTTTTTTACTTAGAGATTTTGAACAAAGTTACAAATGATATTTGAGGAATAAAATGAGTTTGAGAAAGTGGATAGAAGTTTTCCGATGACCTCGAGTGCAAAAATTCCTCGACTTCTTCATCCCTTAAACCTCGGTCTTCCCTTGAACAAGAGCTCCCTACTATTTTGCTTGACGAGGATGGCATATTGGTATCGTTCTCATTTATAGAATGCCTTTGGCTTGTACTTCTAAAGACATTACCAACATCCATATGGTTCTTGCTGCTGTTACCATCATACCCTGATCTTCCTCTCAGCCTATCATCCAGCTCAAGCTCCTTTTCCCGGACCCGCCACATCTCATTCTGTTCAACAGCTCGATTTGCTGAAAAGAGTAGATCAATTAAAAATCAAAAGGGAAAGATAAAACAAAAATCAGTGGCATAATATCAAGCCAATATAAGCTGTTAACAAAACGGTGATGAAATCAAGAGAAGAGAAATGCATACATGGATGAAATTTTTATATAGAAAAAAGAAAAGAAAAGAAAAGAAAGATAATTGGTTTCATTTCAAGTCCCTGTGAAAGACAGGGACATCATTACATTGCACGCAATTTGCAAGGATCCCTTAATGGGTGCGCATGGATCTCTAACTATGCAAGCCAATTTTCACATGTTGAAATATGGTAGACAAAGATTGTTGAATATGTACGCAAATACCCAACCAATCATTATCCTTTAATCCCAGAGAAGGTTTGTTTTGAGATTATCTGAAGAAAATCTGTTAGATGATTAAGCACAACTTCATTCTTTAGACAACCGGGTAAACTTTATGCTTTTTCCATATCCGTTTTTTTAATCTCCATAGCTAGACTTCAATTAGAAAATGTCAGCCAACTCACAAAAAAATCTTTTCATGGAACCCAGATGACAACTTTCAGCAGGGTATGCTATTACTATTACTAATAGATGGTGTACAGTCATGCATTTTTATCTGATAGCACTAAAGCATCAACACAAAGGATGACAAGCTGAAAACTAAAAGCAATTAAACACTGACTTTGCTGCACTCCAAGGACAGTTGCAGTGAGGAAGCGAGAATTTGGTCGTGCTCTTACTTTAGGCCGTTCAAGGTAAACATGCACTCCTTCCCTCTCAGCTCGCTGCCGCAATTCCGCTGCTTCTTTCATAAGAATTGCAGCTATTCTGTTCTCAGTCTCTAGATCCATTAACACCTGCAAAACATGCTCCAAAGCACCAGTTCAGTAACAAGTTTGAGATAGTACATGTTAGTATTATGTTGCATCTTTGGCATCCGCGTATACCTGCTTTGATTAATTGAAAAATAAAGATTGATCACTGACTAAGTATGTATGCAAACAAAGTATTGTGTTCATAGCTATGGTTGGATTGGTATAGTGGGCAAGCCCTAACTCACATACATGACACGAAAAGTTAGTGCGATTCCTCGTTGGAAAATTATGGATCACACAAATGCCAAATCAGCTATGAGTAGTGAAATCTTGAAAGGCAAGATACAGTTCCATGAAAAACTGGGTGGATTTATTATGCTTCTAGTCACATATTGAAAATATAAACCGAATTTTAAATTAAAGCTGGTTAATTAAACCGATTTTGCACCACAAGAGATATAAAGACACTGCAGTATTTCCTTTGCTTTGAAAACAATTTAAAATTTTGAATACTATTAATTTCAGTTAGTTTCTAACAACTCAACCAGGAAATTGCAGTTTTTTGTTATGTCCAAAACAATCGTTATTAACAGGAAATAAACAAATTGGAATGAAAACAAACCCAATTGATCCGAAATTCATTAGAGTACAAGCTATTGTCTAACACGGCAAAAATCAGCAAAATTAAAGTTTCTTTTGTATTCCTCGATATTCTCAGCAATCAAGCAACAAAAGCTGGAAAATCGAATCTTGAAGCCATTAAAAAGACAGCAACTTACCGAATTGGTTTAAAGAAAAGGCAATTGTGAGAAAAATAGAGATCCAAACTCAGTCGAGCAAAAAGAATGTCGCTTTTGCTCTCCCAGTCTCCCTTCTTTCACGCCTTCGGATTTCCAAGGAAAACCCGTAACCCTAGGTTTTATTTTATTATTTCCCCCTTCCATATATTTCCGTTAGATTAGAAATATACGCGTCGCCTACTGCTAGAATTTTCTTAAGAATAGAGTAGGGGCCGGTTTGAAGTAAGGCCCATACCCCATTGGGCCTTGTAACGCCGATATGTAGTATCTCGCCGTTGACTTTCAAGCGTCCCAGAACAGCTGGCTTTTTGAATTAAATTTTTTAATATATTTTTTACTTAAAAATATATTAAAATAAAAATTTTAAATTTTAATATTAACATATCAAAATAATAAAAAAAGCTAAAAAATATTGATTTTAAAATTTTTAATAAAAAATTAAAATTTTTTAAAAGTATATGATGCCTTGATTGTAAATTTACTATGAGGATCTAGTTTTTTTATAAAATATAAAAATATATAGGTCTTGAAAAAAAAAATGGTGTTAATATTAAACCTAGAAATACAGTAGTTTTAAATTTTTTTAAAGATAAATTTTTATATTAATAGATTTCTTATTTATCTTAACCAATACAATATTTCTAGCCAAAATCATTGTTTCTATTTTTAAAAAATATTTTATAATTTTTAAAGTAAGTTAGCAAACAATCTTAGAATAGTATACAAATATTTTATGTGATTACAAGATAAAAAAATCATAAATATGGTAATATCATGTTCAATATATATTTAAAAATATAATAATAAAAAACAAATTTTAATTGAATTTTCATAAACAATTTATTATTGGTATTGTTATTTTAAAAAATATATCAATTATTAAATAAAAATATATAATTGTATTTAGTAACCATGTCTCAGTTAAAGAGTTATTGAATCTCATTATTTTTTTAGCTTAACAAAAACAAAAGAAAAAAATAAAAAGAAAAAGAAAGCAAGGGGCTAGGCCCAATACTTCCTCCATGTATTATTGAAAAAGAAAAAATAAATGATATGTAATTTGTTATCATTTAATAAGCATGCTGAACTTTGAAGGGATTTAACTTTATAACCTCGATCTTGTCTCGCGCATGCTAACCACTTCATGCACACCACATGGTTGGTATATGATGATTAGAACAATACATTAACGTGCTATAATGTTTATATAAACAACAAAGCACCATTAAAACCCTTGGTTATTTTAGAGCATGTGGGTAATATTCTAAAGACTAAGAGATACACAAATGAAAAACATGACTCGTATCATGAACAGCCAACATGCGGGCCTGCCACTTGTTTCTGTACTATTCTTTTTTCTTTCTTTCTTTCTTTCTTTTTTGAACTATGTTTTTTTAATTAACATGGATGTCCGGGCCAGCTTGAACGCACCACGACTAATTCCACGGCCCACTGAACATCCTGCAAGCCCAGTAAACAGGTAAGACACCGCGGGGAGGACAGGCGTACCACACAAAGAAAACCCAGTAGAGACACAAAGGAAACCACTTTCCAGCCCCACTGTCACTGAGACTTGAACCGAAATTTGAAAGAAGGAAAGCAGCGCCTACACCACTGAACCACAACCTACTTGGTTTTTTGAACTATTCTTGATAGCTCTTCATGTCACCTGTGCAATTTGTATTGTAACAGATTGGAATGCTACACTGCGAGCTAGATCATGGTAAGAAATTTACAGTAAAAAAAAGAGAGAATAAAATGCTAAAGCATTTCTAACATGTTTTTTTCAGAAACAATAAAAAACATGAATGGAAATAAGTTCGCAGACTCTAACATGTTTAATAAGTTCGTTCTATTCAATTGCTTGATAATAAAAATAAACAAACAAATATGATAGCATGAATGGAAATAAATAAAAATAATCATGATGGCTTGAGAAAAAAAAGCATATAATGTTGTGAAGATATTCTACAATCTTATATGATATCAAGGTTGAAATTAAATGGATACATTTTTTATTAACTTAAGAAGAAAACATATATAAACACATGTCAACCAATAAAATACTAAAAAAAATAGAGAAAAAAAAAAACAAGTCAATAAAAATTAACATACCAGACACATAATTTAGATTGCAAAACCAAAATATCACCTAGCAAAGTCTAATTTCCAAACTATTAAGTGCAAAATAATATAAAAAAATTAATTAATAAAAAAAATAAATAAAAAACTCAAATAACTTGGATGAACTTATCAGATATTAAACTTGGTTATAAAACTAGAATAATTCATCAATAACCAATAAAAAAAATAAAATATCATTTTTAACCAGTTAATATTAAATCAGTGAGATTAAAAAATAATAATTATTAAAAATAACAATAAAAAGAAAATACAAATCAAATACAACAAAGAAGAAAATAATAAAATTTAACTGTTATATGCGGAAACCAACAGGAGAAGATAGAGAAAAAAAGAAAAGGAAAGAAAAGGAAAAATTAGAGTCTGTTTGAAAGTGTAGTTGCTGTTACTTTTCGAATAGTTTTTCATGCTAAAATGCATGCCAACGATATTTTTTTATTTTTTAAAAATTATTTTTGATATTAGCACATCAAAATAATTTGAAAACACTAAAAACATATTAATTTGAAGTTAATAAAAAAATAAAAAATTTTCAAATTTTTTCAAAAACGCTTTTGAAACGCAGAAACAAACAGGCCCTTACTAGTCAAGTTAACCATAATAAATTATTAAACTAATCTCAATAAATTATTAAATTTAATTTTAGATTAATTTAATATATAAATTATTAAATTTAATTTTAAATTAATTTAATATATTTTTTTTTTAAAAAATTAAAATATTTTAAAAAATCAAATGATAAAAAAAACAATAAAATCTAAACAGTTGTCGGTCATCGTGATCATGGTCGCTATGATAGAAATTTTAGCTTTCTTATATCTTTTTTTATTTAATTTGATTTTGATTTTGATTTATTTAATTCAATAAAGGAATAGAAAAACGAATAAATGAAAGGAAGAAAAGCTTTAGGGCAGCTTCTTTGAAACAAACAAGCACCGTCACTGCCGTGCTCTGCTCTCAAAATCCCTGAGCTGCGGTGAAAAAGCGAAAAATGTCGCCGACGCAACTTTTATCGACTTCGATTTCTTCTTCTTCCTCTGCGTTTTTAGCCGCACCTATTGCCTTCAAAGCTAGGTACTCGACTGGTCTTACCATCTTGATTCGGCATTTGTGTTTGTGTTTCGGTTTCTTAATCCCTTTTCACCACGAACTCTCTAACTCTGCAGAAACAAGAATGTTTCGATCGCGTCGAAAACACCTTCTATTTGCAAGTGTGTTGCTGCTCCTCAAGAACAGAAAACCGGTGCGTTTTTGTTTTCTAAACTTTCTTTCTTTCTTTCCGTGCTGGATTTTATTTTATTTTTATGTTTTTATTTAATTCTTTTTGTGAAGTTTACAAAACACAAGTCTCCCGCAATGCAAATATTGCAAAGCTTCAAGCTGGTTACTTATTTCCAGAGGTTTGTGATTAATTCTCCTTAAAATACTGATAAATTTCGAGCAGAGAAAATAGAGGCGTTTTATTTTTGATATGGAATCGGGAAAAAATTCAAAATGATGTTATCTTTCTTTGTGTTTTCTATTTCTGTGCTGTAAAAATAATAATAGGTTGCTCGAAGGAGGAATGCGCACATGCTGAAATACCCTGATGCAAAAGTGATAAGCCTTGGAATTGGTGACACTACAGAACCTATCCCAGAAGTTATAACTTCTGCAATAGCAAAGGTTAGGCTTATTTTTGTTTAACGTAAATAGCTTTTATTATTAATGATTGTTTTATGGTTTACGATTGAGGTCTGTATCGAAAACCTAGTCTGCTTAGTTTTATTTTTTTTGCATTAACCATCTACTAAAAGAACCATTTTGAGCTAATATATGTGTATGTGCGTCTAGCTTTTAATTCAACTGTTTCTGTTACATGATATGAAATCAGTATTGCTAATGTTTTTCTTTTAAGCATTTGCTGTCTGTCCATGTTTCTGAATTTTCTTTTCTTTTCTAATTTTTGGCAGAGAGCAGAAGCACTGTCTACTTTGGAGGGTTACAGTGGCTATGGACCTGAACAAGGTGAAAAGGTATGTGAGCATTATAATGAAACACGCTATTTTCCTTTTGCTGAAATTTCAGGATCTGATAGTTTTGAGCATTTTTGATGGATTTTGGTGAGATATTTTGCATTTTTTTTAAAATTATAATCACCCACTTTTTTTTTTTGTAGATGAAATGTTAGAAATCCTTTTTAAATGACAATAAGATTTCTTATAAGAATAATCATTCCCATTTGTATGGTAATTTTTAGGTGCCATGTGTTTTGCTCTGAATGCATTGCTTCTGGCATGGTCTTGAACAAGAAAAGATAAACTATTCAACTGTTCTATTTTTTATGAGGTTTATTATGTGGTCTCTGTTCTCTGATATCAAGCCTCGTGACAGTTAAGAGTAACACAAATTGTTAATCCGTGCAGCCTTTGAGAACTGCAATTGCTTCAACATTTTATGCAGGTCTTGGGATCGAGGAGGATGATATATTTGTCTCTGATGGTGCCAAGTGTGACATATCTCGCCTCCAGGTTTGATTTTATCTTTCATTGTTATGTTTTTTCCTTCTTTATTTTATGTCCTGCTTCTGTCTTTCTTCTTGATATGCCCGTGTATGCATTTTCTTGGCTTTAGTTATATGCAAACTTCATCATAATTGACTTGCTTTTCCCTGATTAAATATTCTTTCAGATGGTATTTGGGGCAAATGTAACCATGGCAGTGCAAGATCCATCATACCCGGTAATTTATGTTTTTATAAACTGGTAGTGAAATTTGAAATTTGTAGCACATCCTTCACACCCCTCTCCCATTTTCAACACCTTCTCCTTGCACATGTTCCTAAATTATGCAGTATTTATTTGTGATGCTTGATGGATCCTTATTGTGATAATTATAGTCAGACCTTTGAGTATGCCACTGCAGCACTTCCTTCCAACTTTTCTTTTCCTGGCTAGTGTGGAGGGAACATTATTGTGGGGCTTTTCTTAGTTCAACTTTAGATGGTTAAATTAAAACCTCCTTAGTTTGGTTCGGGGAACCTTATTGTATTGATGTTCTGCTAAAGACTTTATTGATTCCTTATGTTGCATATTTGGTGGTGCTTGGTGTTTAGTGGAAAAGTTTGATCGTGAAAAAGAGAAAAGAGCATTACTTTATACTTACCAGAACCTTAGGTAAAGTAATGTTTCCATTGTGATAGGCTACTCGATGATTCAATTGTGTTTAGCATCCACACATTCAAAGAAAAGGAAGAAGAAGATACGGGGCATTCCTGGATAACTCTCTTTTGATTACCATCTAATTATGTGCAGGCTTATGTCGATTCAAGTGTCATCATGGGCCAGACTGGACAGTTTCAGAAAGATGTTGAGAAGTACAGTAAGATTGAATACATGAGGTGCACTCCAGAGAATGGTTTTTTCCCTGATTTATCGAAAGTTTCACGAACGGATATCATATTTTTCTGTTCACCGAACAATCCTACTGGTTCTGCTGCAACAAGGGAGCAACTGACCCGACTAGTACAATTTGCAAAGGACAATGGATCAATCATCATCTATGATTCAGCATATGCCATGTATATGTCTGATGATAACCCGCGATCCATATTTGAAATTCCAGGAGCCAAAGAGGTAGCCCACAATATATCAATCTTGCTTTGCTTATTGTTCTCTTGGTAAAAGTTCATGCCTTTTCTTAGTAAAACTCATTTATGTTAAAATTTGTTATTTTCCTTCTATTCATGAATTATAAATGTTCAATTGACAGTAAAAATGGCTTTAATCCATTGGTGTGAAGTATTCTATCACCTGAAATTCCCTGTTTCTTTCAAATGTTTTTGGACCAAGGAGGCATTCACGAACCATTCTTAGTTTAAAATGCCTTTGTAGAAACTGTGTTTCAAACGACATTATTATTTTAAAGATTTCATAGAAGTTAGAACTGACATGTCTGAACCTGCATGAATTTTTTTTCACATCAATTCCTGTGGACACTGTATCTGTTACATAACATGGATATGAATTGTGGACTGTTCAAAACTCCGATAATCTGATCATGCAATATCATTCTTTGATTGGCATTAGAATATTTCTTCTTACATTGTGATGTTGGCTGTCAATCATTTTTCTCTGAGCTGGAGTAGTCCCTCTTTAGTGATGCATGTTTGTGATGTGGTAGTTCCCATACTAATTGCAGGTTGCTTTGGAGACATCATCTTTCAGTAAGTATGCTGGGTTTACTGGAGTTCGTCTGGGGTGGACTGTTGTTCCAAAACAGCTTCTATATTCTGATGGGTTCCCAGTTGTAAAGGATTTCAACCGTGTTGTTTGCACTAGCTTTAATGGGGCATCCAACATTTGCCAAGCTGGTGGTCGGGCTTGCCTTTCACCTGAAGGCCTTAAGGTCAGTGCGTTTTCTTTTTGGGGTAGTATAGCCCACTGTTTTCTAACTCGGGAATTGTGTTTTGCGAATGCTGTATGAAACCAAGAATAAACACTTAACCATTTGATTTCCTTGCAGGCAATGAGTGAGGTGATTGGATTCTATAAAGAAAACACCAACATTATAATGGATACATTTAATTCGCTTGGTTTTAATGTATATGGAGGAAAGAATGCCCCCTATGTGTGGGTTCACTTCCCTGGCCAAAGCTCGTGGGATGTTTTCAGTGAAATTCTTGAGAAAACTCATGTAGTTACCACACCTGGGAGTGGTTTTGGACCTGGTGGTGAAGGTTTTGTCAGAGTCAGTGCTTTTGGCCACAGGGAAAATGTTTTAGAAGCCTGCAGAAGATTCAAGCAGCTTTACAATTGAAGCAACATATATTGTGTCCCTTGCCTCCCTTTTGACAAGGATACATGCAGCTACCTCCATTGCGTGGTTTATTTATCTGGTGATATTAGTCATTTATGGTTGAATTCTATGCAAACCATGTAGCAGTTTTACATTCTAGGGAGGTCTAGATTCTGTCTTTCATGGCTGACCCTCATCTTGAAATTGTAACAAATTGTTAAGCTTATTTTTTGGCGCCAAAATATTGAGGTGTATCAGCAGAATGAAACTAGAGCTTGAATTGATGCGGGAAGGGAGTGAAAATAACCATTATCAAGGTGTGTTTCAAGCACCGTGGGCTGCCAAGCGTGATGCACTTTTATGATCAATATATCGTTGTCTATTTGGCTGGCCCGCGCCCCCCCCCTGCAGATAAGTTCTCTTTTACTGGAATTGGAAAACGAAAAATGAATGTCAGAAGTACTCTCCAAAACTAGATATTTTCGTCATCCAAGATTTATGCTAGTAGCAAGCTATTCAAAGCTCGTAGTGTGTTCCTCAAGTTGAATAAAATAGAATTGTAGAGGGAAATACAGAATGGCTGATTTCTTTTTCCTATCTTAGCATTTACGAGATCCTGCAAGCTTCTTTAATGTCGCTCAGTTTGGTTAGACTTCCAAGGCAGAATATTTTCTGAAAAAACAGCAAGCCCGCTCACAACAAGCTCGGACACTCGAAAGGACAGGATCTCCATAAAGCAGGGGAAGCAACCAAGACAGCCTTCCTGCGATGTTAGCAATCCAAATCCATACGCATCAAGTTGGTAAAACCACAGCAAATACATGGGTAATGATCATGAGAATTTTATTTAAAAAATAGTATCAGTAATTAAAAAACATGTTCTTAATAAAATAATCGAGAAAATATATTAATAAAAAAATAGAGTTTGAATTAGAGAGATACAAATTTTGTTTCAGTACATGATAAATTATTATTTTGTTATTAATATTTGTAACGTTAAATGATGTATATAATTATCAATTTATTTTATTATATTAAACACATTGAATTTTCGGTATACATTTCACATATTTTTTTATGTTAAAATAAATTGATAACGCTTGCATACTGTTCTGTGCATTATAAAATTAGATTTTAATCTAACTAGAAGCGAGGCGAAGAAGGGTGTGAGGCGACTAGCCATTACCTAAAATGGCTAAATTACATAATTTGGATGACACGTACATTTTCAGTTACATGACAGGTTTCGTATTTTACAGATACTAAATGACAGTTGTGCCTTAAGCATCGCAACTCTACTCTACTCTACTCAACATAACCAGTCCAGGGGAGCTGTAAGGTACAAAGTTAGGTTACCTAAAACTGTTCAATACTGTTCATAGTCTCTGCCTTGCATGTTGTTTTATAATGACCAGTTTGGTTACACCTACTACAATGCACGGTATGTTTTTCACGATTAAGTTCGTCCTCTACGCAAATTCGTTTCTTTTCTGGGCGTCCTGGTGGCCGACGAAACTTGGGTGGCCTGACAACTTGAGCATCATCATCATCATTCACAGGAGCCTCACTCATCTTTCTCCAATCAATTCTTTCAGGGATGGGATGTATAGTTTCTGCATATGCTTCGCGATAACCAGCAACGGTAAAACACTTCTCTGTAAAGGCATATACATCTTTCCGACATGAAACAAGGGCTGCGACAGCATGTGAACATGGTATTCCATAAAGCTGCCAACCTCGGCAGGAACAACTATGCGTCCCAATATTCACAATGTCCGAGCGCTCTGATGACAGAACCTCAAATTCCACTTCATCAGATCGAAGGACTTGGTATGCTGATGCATGATTAATGGCCTCAATCATACGTTTTTCGGCAGAAGGAGCAAGCACAGAACACCATGAATTACTCTTCATCTGCCGATCCTGAAACTCAGCCATGAGTTTACCGTGAATTCTCTCAATCACCTGGATAATAGGCAGCTCCCGAGCTTCCAGAATCCATCTATTAAATTCATCAATATTTGAAGAGAGATGGCCATACCGTGTTCCTTCAAAATAAACCAAAGCCCAGCGAGAGGGAGGAAACTGTTGCAACCACTCGGCAGCTGCAGAAGAAACCTCTGAAATTTCAAGCATTTTTTCTTTAAAATGAATGGTAGTGGTAGCGTATGCAGCTTTCCACAAAAGATGGACAAGCCTTGAGTTCTTGAATTCTTTACCAATGCTTTCACTCAAGTGGCGCAAGCAAAATGCATGAGAAGAACTTGGGAATTTTCTTCTTACTGCATCTACAATGCCTTTTTGTCCATCACACAAAAACGTGAGCCGTGGCATATTTTCAGTGTTCATCTCCAATGCCTTCTGCAATTCTGACAAGAACCACATCCAGCTCTCATCATTTTCCACATCAACAACTCCAAATGCAAGTGGAAATAGCCCGCCATCAGCATCAAAAGATGTCGCAGAAAGTAAGGTACCAAGGTATTTGCTCTTGAGTTGGATTCCACCAAGCCCAACAATAGGCAGGCACCCATTTAAGAATCCATTTATGGATCCAAAAATAGAAATGAAGAGCCTGTGAAACCGGTTATCTGCACCAGTGGTGAACACTTCTGCAACACTTCCAGGGTTAGTTCTCTTTATTTGCTCGCAGTATGAAGGAAGCAGGCAGTATCCTTCTTCAGAAGAGCCATAAATTGCTGCAAGACCCCGTTCTTTGGCACGCCAGGCTTGCTTATATGGAACAGTTATCCCATACTGCTGGTGGATGTCATGTAATATATCCTTTGGCTTGTAATTGGTATTATTCCGCAGTCGTTCCTCTATAAAGCTCACAATCCAATCTACAGAAGCCTGATGATGGCCATTTTGTGCATTTCTACCACAAGTATGTGTACCTTCAAGGCTTCTTACTGTGAAGGTCGGGACATTAGGAAGCTTAACTGCACGAATACGCCATGGACAACCTTCTGAAGCACACTTTGCAAAGTATCGAATCAGGTCACTTTTGATGATACGGAGTTCAAAGTGTTGTGCAATTGCTGCTTCTTTAATAGCATTCCGAAAAGCCTTGACATCAGGAAACTCTTGACCAACAACAAAAGTGTGGCTCTCCATGTGAAAACTAAGACAGATTCAGAACCCCAACCTCTCAATAAAGGGATCGATTATTTCAACCTTCACTAGACATGTGATTGTGAACACCATTCTCAGTGGATGGGAGTTCGACTATTCGCATCCAAATTGAGCTCGATCAAGAATTGACCATTCCAGAAAAAGCCTGCAAGAGGCAAAAGATCATATTTAAAATGCTATCACATAAACAATTATTTTAAATCAAGGAAAAACATAAAAGCGCACAAGGCAAACGAATTGTAACACGAAGTATTGGAACAAAAGTCAATACTAATACATATAAAGATTTGGAGGTTTGAAAGAAGAAAATCATTCACTGTAATACACAAAAACTGACATTGTCCAACGTTAAGTCGAAAGGAACATTCAAGTTTCAATAGCTAAATGTTATCATCTTTTATGTTAACGTTTAGCTATCCAATTATTGGGAACATAAGCCAGTCTTTCAATGCTTCTATCAGACAAACGTCAAAAAAGTGATCTTTAAACAACATGGAATATCCCAAAGGGAAATAAAAACCATAACTTGTAAATGTATACGGATTATATTCATAGGAAAACTCAGGACCCAATAACAGATTAATACAACCAAATATTATATTCATCATCCTAACAGGAGCAATTTACTGTGACCTTAAATGCTATTTATATTAAGTTTAAAAACAAAATGGCACTGCCGCCTCTCTGTCTAAAGCGAAATCCCTACCGCTATCAATTTTGTTCTTAAAAGATCTCGCTGCATCTGTTATTAGAAATGTTTCATTCACTTAGTGTCTTTTGGAAGCATAAATCCTCCCAAGCATCTTCTTTTATATGCTAAGGCCTAAAAGTTCACAGTTTACTTTAGCAAGAATATCTCCGGGGAAAATACACTACTTTTCTGATAAAACACTCATGCAATATGATGCTAATTGCCCATCTGTCATTTAAAAAACCTTTCGCTATAGTGTTTTTTTATTTTTTAAAATTTATTCTTATTATTAAAATATCTAAAATACCTAAAAAAATATTACTTTAAAGGAACATAAAATTAAAAAAACAAAGGGGTCTTAACCATGGAACTATAAATTTTTGGCTTGCTTATCAAAATCCAACTTTCAACCCTTTCCAAAAAGAGAGGAAAAAAAAGAGAGAAAATCATTACCACTGATATCCGATAACACCTAACTTTACTTGTAAATTCATTTCAAGCTAGTGAAGCAAGACGAAACGAAAAACAAGAAAAACCCAAATGGGCGTTCCTATTTTGCCACCAAGGCGCCATTTTTTTACTAGAGTAGAGCAACTTCTCTATATTCAACCAACAAACAAGCACCTATCTAGAGCACAATTACAAGACAAACCCAGAAGCATAAGGTACTTAAACAAGATTATTAAAACTTGCATAAGTATAAAAAAATAAACTTCATGTAAGGAATTCATTATAGATCCACAAGAACAAAGGTTTAATAAGAGCTCAAGGAGAGCAGGAAGAGAAAAGATAAACCTTAAGATGGATGGAATCATATAATTTTTTTTTTTTTTTTTTTTAATTTGGTTAGATTTGGTATTTTAATAAATATAAAGCATTATTAAAAAATATAAAATAATTGATGCTCGTGCCATTTGGACGGCAAATACAAAGTCTCCATCAACCAAACATCAACTCTTGTAGTGTTATGTTCCTTTGTTTTTCTTTTTTTGAGGAAGGTGTGTGCGGTTGAGGCGATGATGTAATGTTAGTGATTTATTTATTTATTTATTGAGATATTAAATTTATTTTTATTTTTTTTAGTCTTGTTGTGAAATTTTGATATATTTTTAATTTTATTTTATATTTAATGACTCATGAATTGAGCAATATCATTTGTTTTTTAAATAATTTTAATTTAATTTATTTACTGTTGTTGTCTATATTTTATATAATCTAATTAAAATAAAATTAATCTATTTAATCCGGCCATTCTATAACTTAAATCACATATTATTCTGCATGCTTTAAATCGTGCATGACACATTTGAACATCATATTTTTTTTAACCCGACACCAAATCATATCACGAGCCCACAACTATTGTTCGCTATGCACCGTTAGTCATTAGGTAGTGTTTAAACTTTGAATTGTGTTAGGGCTAGGGAGTAGGGACATAAAATAAAATTAGCGTGATTAAGGAATAATTATAAATATTTTTATGGATTTAAATATGCTTTTTTTTATCATTCATCTTTTTTTTTTATTATTATAAGTGGATTTATGAATAAGTATTGATTTGAACGCTCTAAGGTTTTTCTAGAGAAGAAAGCTAGAGAAAATCTTCTTTTTTTTTTTACTTTCCTCTGAACCTACTTCTAGATAAATTTTGGCTCTCAGAAAAGGAAGGACATAGCATTTTTAATTTTTGTTGTGAATTATTTCTTTTCCAAAATTCTCACATTTAAACAAATCCTAATACCAGCACTACCCCTAACCCTCAAATGTGATGCAATGAGGATGAACAGTGCATCTTTTCTACTGTTGAGATGCAGTGTTGCTTCCTCCCAAGAAATCTAAAAGCTTGAAAATTGCTATCATGTCAACGCAACCAATAATCGAAATGGGGCAGAGGCTTGCTTACTATATGAGAAAATAGAGCCAGAGCAGGACAAAACAAAACGTTGGCAAAAATTGTACTCTGATGGTTAATTAGACAATACAGCAGCAACTCAGCAAGAACACTCAATATTTTTATATAAAAACTGAGAATATAGGACCTTTAGAAGGAACACGCTCGCATCGCTTTGATTGAATGGAACAGGAACGAGATCTCTCATTGGCTATATGTAGACAACAACAACAACAACAAAGAATTGCTCGAACAGTTTAAGCAGAAGAAATAATTCAATGGATGAATTGAACAGCGACAAACTGGAGTGTTTTCCTAGAAAATAACTTAAGCCACTCTTCGTGTGCAGCTCTTTGGAGTGTGGATGGAATGGAAATTCGGTTCCTTTGGAATAGTTGTGGACCTCCTCCCCTGTAGTGATTGCCTGGGGACAGCAGAAGCTTTGGTTTCTGGGGAAGCACCGCTTTTGCTAGGCTTTGCAGCTTCTTTGGGTCTCAACAAGATTTCTGGTGATTCTTCCTTTATCACACCTAGTCGACCAGGTAAAGTAACAGGGAGTGTTTCTTTTGTAGTCGATGAGGTCCTGCAAGAGCAGAGTAGCTTATTTTATTCATGAAAAAACTCTTCCTGTATTAAAATAACTTGTTAAAATAGCAGAAACTCACTCTTGTGGTCTCACGACATTTCTCACAAATGGTGATTTGGCCCTTTTCAAGGTATTCCCCAAATCTTGAGCCGTTGTCTTACAATGACTATATTTCTTCAGTGGAGACACAAGCTTCTGTTGGGACGAAACTGTATGTCTCTGTGGAGCTGAAGATAATTTTCGTCTCATTCTTTCCTTAGAGTTCTTCAAGATGGAAGCCTGATTTTGCTACAAAAAGGTATCATAATAGCAGGCTTGAGCCAATGTAAACAACCATGGAAAACCAAGCCTAAATGTTTTTTTTACTTTATTTTACGCTTCAAAAATAGATAGCCTTACATGTTGTTCCTTCTGCGTCGTGTTTCTTTCCTTTCCACATGCTTTCTGAGCATCATTAGCTAATTCAGTTTGTTCAAGGCTCTTGTCATTTCTCTGCAATCAGAATCATATTCTCAGTCTACTTGAACCAGTGCGGACAGCTAAACGAGCAATGCACCCTGTTGTTTTCTGTAAATTAAATGAAAACTCACTAGCAATGCCTTCTGTTTTTTCTGTGAACTTCCTCCTGGGAACCTCGTAACTGTGATTTCTTTCAGTGGAGCAGCGTGAAGCTTCTTCTCCAAGGTTGCTTCCTTGAGAATCCCTCTTTCCTGTATATAAATTAAATATTCTCAGATTCAATTAAAAGATTACTATTTATAGGACTTCGATAGGTAATAAATTACATACATCAGTTCTTAGCCGAAAAGGCTTGGGATTTGTAGGCTTAGGTTTTCCATGTTTCAGTCCTTGAACACCAGTAGCGTCAGTAACGAAGTTCTCTTTAGATGGCTTCCTCATTGCTTTGGCTATCTGAATCATTTCCATATTCACAAAGAAATCAAAAACAGAAACAAAAAAAAAAAAAAAGAGAGAGAGAGAGAGAAGTTCAAATTCCTAATAAAAAAGTTACCATTTGTGTGCTCTTCACACTCTCATGCTTGCCAAGGGTTTGTCTTTTCAAGTGGCCGGTATTAAGATCCATGTCTCTGCAGCTCCGAAATTCATGGATAACTGATTACCAAAAATATCTAACAACATCCTAGAAAGACTAATAGAATTATTGATATGAGTTTACTCACCTGTTATCGTCAGAGGCCGAAGCATTTTCCTTATTGTCGCTCTCCATGGCTTCACTATCATTTTCCTTGTCATCTGATATCAAAATATGTTTTCTATCATTACTTTCCATGATTCCACCAGTGCCCTTATCCAAACTCGAGTTCATTTCTTCTTCTTCACCATGTCTTTCACTGGTCTCATTGCCCTCTTCACTTGAAGCCAGAAGTTTGGGAACGTCATTTTCTCCCGAGCACCCCTCTTCATAATTTGACTGGGTATTTTCGTTGGCATCTGACAAAGCTTCAGCTTTATTCTCAACCAGTGATGGTTCTATTTTTACAGTTGTTAAAAGCCCTTCATGTGGATTATTTCCTTCATCACATTTAGCAGTAGAGCAGACTCCCAGAGTACCATTTCTTGATTTCTCCTGAATCTCCATGTCACTGAAATTATTTCCAGCCCCTTTTTGAGGCATATGACCATGATACTGCTTTAAATTTTTTCCCTTACAATTTCGGGAAAGCGGCCCATCATAAACTCTGCTTTTAACCTCTCGTCCTCGCGGTTGTTTTCTTAGAGCATTTGAAGGCAGTGGTGTATTAGCATGCTTCTTTCCATCAGTGACCTCAAACTTCTTCACACCTGCACATATTTTCTTGACAGTTGTATCCAATTCTATTAAAGTTTTTGTGCTCACTGACTTATCAGGTGAACGAAATAATGCCTTTGCTACCACTCTACCATTTGCAATGTCCATTGCCTTTGGGTTCCTAACACTCCGAAATGCATCAGGATTTGACAGTCGCTTTTTGTTCCTTGGAGTAGTCAGAGCCTTGGATGCAACAGAAGACTGCTTTTCCCTCACATTTGGAGTTGCATTTCGCTTAGCAAGAGGTTTGACTTTCACTTTTTGATCGACCATTTTTTTAGATATTGAGGAAATCAGGGCCAATCTTGATACTCGAGGTTTCGAAGATTTTGCTGGAACTGTCTGGGGACATTTGATATTGGCACTATCACATACAATTAGTAAATCGTATTAGCATGGATCTAGTTATATCAATAAGAGAATGTTAAATCTGAATTACAAGAAGCTTAATGCATATACCCTGAATCCTTTCTGTACAATGCTTTCCGAAGCCGTATGTTGGGACTCCTTGCAGCCATAACCTGCAGGACTCAATAACTTACAAGCCTAAATCTAAATTTTGAAACCAACTTACTGCAGAAAAGAAACTGGTAACTAACCCGAAGAACAAAATTTTTGTAGATTGCTTCAGAATCCATTTCTTCTTCATGCTTTTGATCACATCCTAAGGCAAAGGCACAGTGGATGCAGATAGAGAAATTCAAATTTTAGCATTTAAAGTATCTCAACAAAAGAGAAAAATGAAAAAAAAAAAAACCTTAAATAATCAAATACTCTATTGAAAAATGTAGACGACTCATTTAGAATGATTCTGGAGTAGAATTACAGTGAAGTTGAATTAAATTTACGTTGAATTCACTTGTATGCAAGGAGTTAGAAATGAACCAGTATGATTTTACTATATTTCCAATGTCCGTTTCCATTCTTTCCTTTTATTAATAAACACATACGAACCCCCATCCACGCTAGTTAAATCCTCAAAATTGAGAATGTAGCCATTGCTTGGAAAGTCCTAACATGTAGTGGACCAATCAACACAAATCTAGCACAAATCTATGTAGAATTTACTCCAATTCTATCACCTTTTGCATTTCCTTTTTTGCCAGCAGCATTTTAATTGATTTCAAAAGGCTTTTAAAAATAAATTTTCGTATGGATCAGATTTATGTTTATTTATTCATTGCATGGTGGACCTCACCATGCAACGTTCTCATCCTCAACTTGAAAGCTTAAATAGTGCTAACGGACTCTATTATCCATGAGTTTCAATAATAAAAATTGCCATGTAGGAAATATTTATACCAGATAAAATTCTAACACTCAAGCCTACCCGGAGACTTTGAACTGACAGCGAGGGAAATGCGACCCTCACTTGCAAGTGACGGACCCTTGCACCGTTCAATTCAAAGGTGTGCGTTTCACGCATCCATTGAAAGCCCATTGCAAGTGATGGTAGCATTTCTCTCGTTAACAATTCAACTAGGTTTGGCTAAAAGGTAGAAATCTTCTTGTTGCAAGAATTAGATTTGATCACAGTTTCACTTGGAAGTATTAAATAAAAATCCCGTCAAATACAAATTCAATTATGAGATACTAAAATTGGAAAGATAATGTTTTCATACTAAAAGAAAAAAAACAATGAACAGCACACACAATCCAATTCTATCCCACCCAAACATCTCGTTGCATACTTAATTCAAGTAATATTATTATATATAATTCAACTCCAACTCCACCGCATAAATAATCTGCAAGGAGGACGGATTTCCACCGGAAGGAAATCTCTTTCTTTTTTAACATTAACCTTTTCAAAATTCAATCTCCACAAGAGATAAGATCCACCAAGCCAAAAAAAGGGTGCCGCATTGATAATTTTACAAAATTCTTAAAAAATTTGGTAATTAACACAAATTAAGTAAGCTTGAGAAATAAATGCAGCCCATAATCCTATTTTAACAGACAGTATTTAAAATAATTACCGCCAACCAATTCTTAATAAAAATCATGAAGGAAGGGGACTGCAACCTCCTCCATCTTTAAAAGTCTTATATTCACCCATCAGATTTTAAACAACACGGCATCGATAGAGCTTCGGACTTGAAGTAGTATTGGAAAACAGAGACAAACATATAACAGTAATTTACAAAATTACCAACACGCAAGCAGAACCAGTATCGGTCATCGCCAGGCTGGTACTGATCAGGAGCGTTAAGGTCCACGAACTTCGGCGCCTCGATCTTCTCGTAGAAGTCTTCTTCGGCGTTGATTTTCAAACACTGAGATTCTTCTTCCATTTCCATTTTTATTTTTTTTCAGAGAGAGAGAGAGTATAACTGACTGAGATTCTTCTTCCATTTCCATTTTTTTTTTTTCAGAGAGAGAGAGGGTATAACGTGTGTAGAAGAATCCTTCTTCGCTGGTTATGGAATGTTTGGGTTGGTAAATGGTGCGAGAGAGAGTAGAACTGTGTGTAGAAGAATCCTTCTTCGCGTTTTAAAAAAACATGCTCGTTTGCTATCCCCTTCTCACACCAAGTAGCCGTTGGGAAAGGTACAGACAAATTCTGACAGACACGATTGTAATAACAACCCATTCTCGTGTCTGTTTTCGTCCAATAAAATAATGTCAGAAGACAAGACAGAAACCCCGGCCCAGACAAAACCATAAACACAGACTCTCTAGGCCTCTCAAATCTCATCTATTTTACTTCCAGTCCAGGCCCAATACCTTTTTCTTTTGTTATTTCTACCATCTCTTCCATCCTCTTTTTTTTTTAAAAAAAATATAATAATATAAATATGTATGACGCTATCTTTGATTTCTCTAAATTTTAGATGATTTTTCAAAATTTTCCCATATTTTTAAGAAATTAAAATACTGCAGGTTTTACAATTGGTTTTCAAGATGCTGCTAAAGTGAGATTCAATTTAAATTTGACCGTTTCATTTGACTTTTCAAATTTTCTATTAAATTGGTTTCACAAGATCATATATAAGAGGAAGTAAGTAGAGCAGTAAAGCTTAAGTGGACTAAAGTTGAACATAGCCTACGTTTAAATTTATGCTTTGCAGTCCCTAATTAGACATTGATAAAATGTTTTTATTAGTAACACAACAGTTTATATTACAATGTTTGCTTGTTGTATGATTAAAGAATAGCTAGAAAAATTAATTGGGATATATACAAATTAGTTTGAATATTCATAATAATAATAATAATAAATTGATACAAACATTTATATTAATAATAAAATAATAAAAAATATATATTTGATTTTCTTGTTTCCATTTCATCAATATATATTTGATTTCTTGTAGCCCCCAGGTTGTAGGAGCTCACCAACAATTCTGTGAAGCTCAGTCAAGTTTCTTTAATTACAAGAATACTGCGCCATCTGCGCTGTATATAGCAGAAGAAAACAAGGTTGTCAAGGATCATTACCATTGTTCGTGTGTACCTTTGCGTTAACGTTATGTGTTAATGAGTAATTAATACCTTGCCAAGAGTGTAAGCAAGAGATGGCCGAAGCTGAAACACCAGCACCCGATGATCGCATCAGTACTTCCAGCAATTTCTGATCCAATTTCGGAGCTTTTTAATGCTTACAATCTTTCCTGAAGCTTTGATCTTCTTCCTTCCTCTCTTGAACTGAGAGTAAAGGGAAACCTTCCATGGAAGTTACTCTAAGTCTTGTTAAGGACGTACGATCATACTATAATGGAATGCTACTGGCCCATTGCCATTTGAAGAAAGAAAACCAGACCAGGTTTCAAAAGGTACAGACCATTTCCATTTGAAGAAAGAAAATCAGACCTGGTTTCAAAAGGTACGAGAAGCCATGCACCAGAAAGAAACAAGGAATTGAAATCAGATAACAAGGGAAATCCATCCTCTAATAAATGTTAACTGAAATGTGTCATCAAGAGAGCGTGATACGTATCAGGCAGTAGGAATCCATCTGTTCGGACAGCACAAACATTTTGTCCTCCATTTTATAGGCTATTTTCACTTATTAACATTGTTTTTTAAAAATATTAGAAAAACAACATAGTTTTTTTTTTTTTGAATGGATAAAATAATATAATCTATATGTATCAGTACGACATTCAAATTTGTTGTTATTTTAAAATATAAAATATAAAAAAAATGTGAAATTAGCTGTATAAAGATAACAAAAAAGAAAGATTATGGTGGCATCTTAGCTGACGGCATGGGCAGACTCGTACTGTAGAGTTTGTTCTTTTTTATTTTCCCCGTCATTGTACTAAGGTATTTTTTTAAGCATGGGTATAATATTTAATTGAAAACTAAGGGTGTTTTAGTCAATAAAAAAATAATATTTTAAGAGATTAAATCGGTGTTAAATTGCTTTACAACTAGCATTTTTTATTTATTTATTTTTGAGCAACACATATTAATTTATTGCACTCCACTGCACAGTCGAGAACTTTTCAGCGTTTCTACTTCGTAGATAATAACCGCAAATATAAACCGTAGGTGACTGCTGCCATTACTTCACCTTTTTGTTATTAATATGAAAAATTAAGTAAAATGTTTTTATTCATGTAATTCAATTATAAAAATGTAAAATAAAATAAATTGAAATAGCCATTACTTCAAGTCATAAAATTAAGAAAAATAAAAATAGAGGCAAATCTTAAAAATACCATTCAATTATATAGGTAATCATATGCTACCATCAGACAAGTTTTATATCAATTTTTATTTTAAATTTTTAAAAGATTTTAATTAAGAATTTTCATCTATTTTTAAAAAAATTTATCTATATTTTCATTCATATTGCATTATTTTTCTTTTTGTAAGAAATAACATCATTTTATGAAAAACTTAACTTGTTTTTGTTAAATATTCTAACAAAAATTCTTAATTGAAAAATCAAAATAATTTAATGATAAAATTGATATAAAAAAATAGTTTAGGTATAGAATTGATAATATTTCAATAATTTGATGGAATATTTGATATTTATCCTGAAGTGTTGGCACATAACCGCTATTGTCAGACTGTACAATCATATGAATTACAAATTCAGATTATAATATTAACATTATAATTTATTCCATATGTAATCTCTTCCCACCCCCAAAAAATAATAAGATACCAATATATTGATCTTTCTACAACAAGAAGAATTATTGCATTGTTTCCCTGTTCTAGCTAAGACTAGAAATACCCAACCGAGAAGAATCAAGTTCTCTGACAGTAAAATTAAATAAAGCAGTATTACTTACTACTCGTTCCTTGTTACTCACAAATTTCTTGTTTTCCATATAATCAACGGACAGGAGGAGTTCTGTAGTAAGTTTGCATGGTTATTGGGAAGAATGTTGCTCTTATTCCTTCTGCTTTGATTATAGGGAGGAAGATGCCTAATGCAACCTGAAGATGAAAGAAAATAAAAATATAATTTTTTCTTGACTATCTAATTTTCCATATGCTGAATCGACAAGAAAATTAGCTAAGAAATTCATTCTGCAAATACCAGTTAAAGAAGCTCACTTAAGCCAACTCCCCACTCTTTTTGTGACTGAGCCTCCAGCTCAGAAGTTCACTTACCTTTAGAACTGCCTCTGCCCATGCCCTATGAAATCCCAAGCAGACATCATAGGAATGCAAACATCATGTCTCCCCAGCAACATAATTTGACTGTGTTAAATCGATTGCTGTTTCACACCTTCGAACTTCGAAGATGCAACCACCACAGAAACAATCGAAATTTAACAAAGAGATCAAATTGCGGGAATTGGCTAGAACATAGCGTGTTAAAAGAATCAGACCAGAGAGAAAATCAAGGATGGTTTCATATAGCACTAGGCCATCGTTTATTTTTCTGAAAAGATTACTTGCTTTCCAAACAAAGCTTGCAAGTGTAGTGTTGATGTGTCGTATTTCATCAACATTTTCTAATAGGGAAAAACCCCTTGTTCACAAAGTAATGATTTTCTATCCTTGCAAATGCCTGTAGCAGGCAGATAAAGCATGCCGCAATTCAAACATGTAAATACAACATATTACAAAAACGTAAACAGTTCCAAAAGAGAGATATAGAGACTCATTCAACCCCCTTCCAAACAACACTTAATAAAAGACTAAATCATATTACAAAGACTAAGACAAGTGAAAGACTGCTTCTTTCAACATGCACGATCAATTACACAATCCCAATTATCAAAAACACAATAAACGAAGACAACCCAGAAGCAAAGAACACGTGAACACAGAGATTTATAAATAGAAAGGCAAACTTTATGGACCATGGCTACTTACATGCCCAGTCGGATTTTATGATTGTTCATGGTAAATTGTGTGAAGATCAGAAACTTCAAAAACCAGTCGCATAAGGCTCTATGTTTCCATAAAGATTCCCATTTAAGACCACTGACTCCTTGGCTGGTTCCATGTGTAGCCCCACTTGCCTGGGATCCATGCTTGTTATTAAGATTTCTCACACTTAACATTAAAGGGTTCTGTTTTCCAGCGAAGTCACAAAAACATTAATGAAGTACAAGTGTTTTCTGTATATAAAATTTAAAACCAAAAACAGATGGAGATGGTACTCACTGATGGAAAAACAAGAGAGTGAAAGGGGATGGAGAGTGAGGGAATGGAAGGGAGTGTGAAAGTGAGGAGTGAATTGGTGAAACCTACTAAACTCATGATTTGGTGGGCATAATTGGTACGGGAAATGTTTTGGATAGCTTTCAAGGATTTATGTTCTGATTCCAAGCCCGAATTTAAAATGAAATATGCCCATTTTTATTTCTATACCTTTGTATCTTATTTTTAATTTTAGCCCTTTCAGTTTTGTTTTATTCTGAGCCCAATTGGCAATTGCATTCTGGTCTTCTAACACTCTCTGTCAGTTCTTTTATTCTTGTTCTTAATTTTGACCTTTCATTGTAATGGCTATTGATTATTACGGTGCTGGTGGTAACTAGAACTGCAAAAAAGCAACTCCTAAAAACCAGTTTGTGGTTTAATGGCCAGAAAAATGATTTTTTCCCCAAGAACCTAGTTTCGACTTCATCCCTCTCCCCAAAGATCCAATCAAATTAAAGGGACGATTGTTCTTCTCAATTTTCTACAATCTTCGGTAAAAAATTATTCTTCTCAGTGTAATTCCCAAATGCGAAGTAGTTGTGTAGAGCCTGCCTTCTTTTGCACCCAACTATTTAGCATTTACTGCTTTGCACGAGAAAATATATCACATTCTTGATATAAAAGTTACTATATAAATCTTACAAGCCTATATTTAAGCCTATTCCACTTTCACAAGCTCAAAGTTACAGGTTTATTGCATAAAAACAACCTACGAGGTCAAGCTCCCATAAAAAAAACTGACCTCCTGCTCTAACTGCTTGGATCAGATATGCTACCTGTGCTCACTTTCTCCTTTGAACAACTTCCACTTACTTTATCGACAACAACGTCTGTGAGTTGAAGAG